CCGAATATAGATATTGTAATAACAAAAACAAAAGTGATCTAATCGGCCACCTGGTTCGCCTTTTCGCCTTGGCACGGGGTCTAGGCGATCTTCAGGCTCGCCGAACTCCCAATTGCCTCGGACAACGACCATCACATCGTCGACACGCTTGCCAGAGCTAGCAAGCATAGTCACTAAGTGATGATCAATATCCTTGGCTTTGAGAAAGTAGCATCCTAGCCAGCCAATAGATTTGGCTAGGACATAACAATGCCGAACGGCAAGTATACCTAAATTAATCCTAAGACGCCGGTTTAGCTCTACAATCCCCATTATGATGCAAAAAAAATTCACGTTGGGCTGGGAAGGGATTAGACCACAATATCGAAGAACGACCCTCAAAAATAGGTGAAGGAGAAAGCAGACTCCGCCCTCAATAATTGACAAGAGAGGAAAGACGATTGTGCTCTCATCATCCCTCTCCATATCAGTGGTGCTATTTGCCAAAAGTGACAGATGGACGTCATCGGGGATGGAAAAATGGCATCGAAAGCCGAAGATTCGATCCGCTGAAAGGAGCTCCTTCAGATGTTTTGCCATCTCGGACAGCCCAAGGATTATGGGAAACTAAAAGCAAACAAGGAAGTGGGATCGAAAGTCAATGAGAAGAAAACTTACAGGAGATGAAGGGTAAAACGAGAAATAAGGACTTGCAGAAGCCGCGAAGTGAGGAAGTTGCACTAGAAGGCGAACCAGATATTTTTGAGTATTCAAAACATACATTCGAAGAGACAATTTCAAATCACATTAAATATAGGCAGTGTACGAAGGGCGGGAAATCGTTATAATGACCAAAAAGCGTGTACGCGTTCTGACAAGCATTGGGAGGAGGATTAACCGCCGAATTTTTGACTTTCCAGGCTCGAAGCCAAACACGCCGACTAACTGATGCTAGTGGAGTGTTTGGGGGGCAATTATGGGAGCCAAATTTAATTGGATCAATAGGGACAAATGGACGAGTCCAGTCTGGGACATAATCTTTATTCGGCACTGATCCTAGTCAATTGAAGAGCCGAATAAAATAATCAACTTTCCAATCAGTAGAACAAAGGCCGAGTAGAAGTACATGTAAAGGATCGAGGATGGGCCTGGCCCTAGGGCCCAAAGAGAATAATATAAATACAGGATCATCAGTCAGAGAAAGGTATGTGAGAACCATTACGCTTAACTTAAAATACAAGTAATCCAGAGTATAGAAACTGACTTGCCCGTTGGAGTGCTAATTCCGGCACCCCCGACCGGAGTGTTTATTCCTTTTCAGGTGACTAGCTGAGGATCACGAGCGTCCCCCAGGATAAGAAGAGTATTTCCAAACCACTTCACCACAGTATATCACACTTAACGTGAATATGCATATGGTGTGAGTTATTATGTGAATGTAAGAATGTTGTTTAAGCCATGTATGTACAGCTCAATGGACAATCTTTGAAAATTTTTCTTTTGCAATTTAGCCCCTATCATTAAATACGGATTGACTTCTGACTAAGGCCGTAGGTAATCTCATGATTACTGGCCGGTTATGATTCTAATCTATGGGGTGGATTCGGGTCATGACACTCACATACTCAAATATATATATAAAGCACTAGGAACTCTTTGATTTCCATAAATTCATAGAACTCCAGCAATGCATAAGTTGATTGATGATAATTAGGTGAAGAAAAAATATTTCATTAAAAGCTTTGGATTTTTTCAATGACTAGTGTCACAGTTTCACTCAGCAATTTATTTGACACATATGCTTGTTTTATATTTGAATCTATCAGGATGTAGAGGAGTTGATTAGTTTACCACCAGAGAAGATTTTGCTTATGTGGATGAATTTTCAACTGAAAAAATCAGGCTTCAAGAAAACAATCACGAACTTTTCTTCTAATATAAACGTAAGTCAGTATGAAGCTAAATTGTAATAATTTTCTCGTGTTTCCACCATTCTTAGTCATTTGACATTCTTTCTATAATTTTCAACAATTTTGTGCTGTCAATTTGTTGTGTTCCTAAATTTATTGCTGGTGTGAAGGTGTGTTGGTTTTTTTTTTTTTTTTTTTTTTTTTTTTTTTTTTTTTTGGGAACTGTAAGAAGTTTTATTCCAATTTGCGACTTTTAGTATCTTGAAGCACTTGAATATGATTAGACTGAGGGTGAGGATACAAATATGCTGATCCATTGTTGGGAGGAGGATTAATAAATTAATCAGACTCGTATTTCTAAAATTTTGTTATGCAGTTAATTCTTGTGTTTTTGAGTGGTGCATTAATATTGATAGAATTTTAATGTTGATTGGATGCATACATATAAATGTTGTTTTATTTAAAAAATAGTATTGATAGTCCTTTAATTTGTTCATGTTATCTTCACTTTCCATAGACCTTTTTCAATTTTTGTCCAACTTTACAATCCGAGTGATGTGCAAATATTTTCAAAAAAAAATTACGTGACATTATTTTTGTTTTTCTTTTGTACAAATGGATGAACCTGTGCACGAAGCTGAATCGTACAAGACTAGTTGGCACTTGTTACATTTTTTGAAGGATTATATATTTTTGGATAGATGTGTATGGAAAGTATTTGGATAGACTACTAGTTATGTTTTTGGATAAATGCATATGGATAAAAATTTAAAACATAATAAGAACTACTTGTTATGTTTTAAATTTTTAAACAAGATGGATGTGAATTAGATAATTATATAGATTACATAACCATTTTAATTGGTCGATTATGTAGTTTGGAATAATTTGTGGATGAAAACTTACAATAGTTGATGACTTTAATTAAACAGGTTAAGTATTGGCTAATTTATGTATTTTGTTGGATGCTAATGATTCACTTGATTTTGTTGGTTTGAATGATTCTTACAAATTACAGGTTATATTGAATGGTTTGGATGGATTATTATATATCATATAGGTCAAATGGAATTCTTTTTATATTTTATTTCTATTTTGATAGACAAAAAAAAAAATTGAAATGGTGACCAGGTTTGGTTTTTCCTCTTTTGGCGACCAAGTGATTAGTCGGTGTTTCACTATTCACATTTGGCGACCAAAATGTTGGTAGGCGAAAGGGTAAATTTGGCGACTAAATAATTAGTCGGTAAAAATATTAATTTCCGCAACCAAAGTGTTTGGTCTCAAATAGATCTATTGCCGAATAAAGTTTTAGTCGTGCAAACATTACTTTTGGCGACTAACATATTTAGTCGAAAAAATATCACTTTTGGCGACTAAAGTATTTTAGCTGCAAAATGGATTAGCCATGGTAATTATATACTTAGCGACCGAAAATTTAGTCGGCAAATAGAACTTTTTATCGACTAAAAATTTTTTTTGTCGCGAATCACTTTTCCCGACCCTCAATTGGCGACCAAAGTGGCGACCAAAAAAATCAATCGCGGATAACTTTTGCCGACTACATTTTTAGTTGGCAAAAGTGCGATTTCAATAATTGTCTATATATTCCATGGAAGCACTATTGCTTGGCCAACCCATTTCATCGGCTTTGACTTTGGGTAGAAATCCTATTATGGATAGTTTTTTTATATGACTTTAATGAATAGATTTCTATAATCTTTGGATAGTTTTGCACTTTGTTTAGAAACTTATATATGATATAGTTTTTTGATGGTTTAGAACGTTTTGGACAATTTAGAACTTAAGGATAGTTTTTTGGACAACTTAAAAGTTAAGGATAGTTCTTTTTAGATGGTTTTGAACTTAAGGATAGTTTTTGGATATTTGGAATATATAGACAATTATTGAATGTTCATAATTTATTGATATAGTTTCTTTTTTATGCTTGAAACAATATTTTGGTGATTGATTGATATTTTGTGAACGTTGTTTATAATGTTTGTTAGATTATATAGAACAGGTCAAATAGAACCTGCTAAATTCAAAAAAAATATACTACATATTTTACGACAGACATAATTAATCATTGTATTACATATTTTACGACGAGTAATGAGAGTTGTGATTTGTCCCAATAATTAACGGCGTGTGACAGGAATCGTAGAAAGATAAAAAAAAATGATGCATAAGTTCCGCTATTAAAGATTTTTAACGGCGTGCAAAAGTAGTTATAGAAAAATCAAATACGACTTATAAAAGCCACTATTAAAGGGTTTTCAACGACGTGTTATGACATGTTATTGAAGTGAATGACTTTTCATGACTGGTTATAATACGGCTTTACATTGTGCGCCATAGAATCATATATACGATGTGTATTTGGTGCCATAAAAATCCAATTTTGTTGGAGTATTTTTTTTTTTTTTGCAATAATTTGAATCGTTCATTTTGTATTATGTTTATTATATATAAAAAAAATTTAAATCAATCCAATAATCATAACCTATTCAATTTATTGTGTTTATCATGAAAAAAATTGGTGGTCTATTATCAATTTTTTTAAGAAACATTTGTCATTATTTTTTTTAGACACAAATACGATAATATAAATAGGTTATGATTATTAGAGTGATTTTTTTTTTTTTAAGTGATATACATAAAGAAATTTATAAAATAATCAAAATAAGATGTTCAATAAATTGTATAAGTTCAAATAATTCCTTCAATCCAGATCACGAAACCCGAGAAACAAATCCAGTATATCCACAAGAAAACAAACAAATCCAGTATATCCAGTTTATCCGAATTCCTTTTGAAAAAGACCCACAAACAAATCCAGTATATGTCGGCCTGTAAATTTCAACCCCAAATCCAATAACACTGAAAAGCATTGGCTGAGCAAGGGATGCGAACACAATGAAAAACAAGAGACAAGGGTTTTCATCTTGTAATAATCGTCCTGTCGGCAGTTTTTGACATGACCTGACCTCCTCCTACAGACGAGAATATTAACTCAACCAATTATAATATACTGCTTGACCTCCGTCTCTGTCTTCCATAGTCCATATATTCCATTCCATTTCGTTTTATTTCATCCTATTCCATTCTATGGGACATAAAGAAAGCCATACTTACCTCCACATACAACTCCTCACCGTCCTCCTGATTGCCGGCGCAATTGCGGCCCTCGTCGTGATCCTCTATTACTGTATGACCGTCCTTTGGTTCAACAACCGCACTCACAGCAGCACTTCACTCCTCTGGCGGAGAACCCCATTCGTGGCCGCACAACGAGGAGAACAACAACAACAGACTCCGAGCACCACCAGCACTACCACCATGGCAGAGAACTCAATGAACGAACTCATCCCAGCCCACAAGTACTGCAAGGGTGGTCGTCACGGCACGGTGGCAGTCGGAGGAGAGGATGGGGATGGGGACGATGATGGCGTGTGTGCGGTTTGCTTGTGCGGGTTTGAAGATGGGGAAGAGTTGAGGACGATGCCAGAGTGCGTGCACTCGTTTCATGTAGAGTGTATCGATATGTGGCTCTACTCTCACTCCACTTGCCCCCTCTGTCGTACTGATACCCCATCCCCATCCCCTCACTACAAGTTTACACCCTTATTGGATTCGGCTTTTCGAGGCTCCACCATCCCACCATCAGCCAACCACGTTGTACCCAATTTTAGTGTGCTTTTTGGGAGTGTTATGATGGTCTAAGCTTTGTTTTTTTTTTTTTACTTTGCCACCCATTATGAGCTTGATTTGGGAGGTAGTTTTTTTAGTGATTTTGGAGAATTTATCAGTAGGTCTGAACTCATACATAAAATTTAAAATTCATCTAATTCTAAACTAAAATATTTGTACTAGTTAGTCATACATATTTTTAATTCTTACTAATTTTTTATTTTAATATAAAAATCTAAAAACGTTACATTCCACCATAGTCGAACTTCCGTCAAATGGTCACCAGAAACTCACCAGAATGTTTAACATCATTGGGAAGTTGCCAGAGCGTTCTGTATGTCAATAAAATATCTAAAATGTTCGCTGGACGTCAAGAATATCGCCGGAGACTCATTGGAATGTCTAGAATATTGCTAGGGGAACAAAAGAATAAATTGAGATTTTAGAGTGAAAAAACGTAACAAAATATGCTAAATATTGATAAACTAAAAGAAGAAAAAATGTAATAACAAAAAACAGTAATAATGAGAAAAACATATGTTATTTTCAATTTTTGTAGGATTTAAGCAAACAATCTCCAATATTGATCAAACTGAAAAGCAGGGTATGAAACTGTAAAATGTTACCATTTCAAAGTATGATTCTATCAAGTATTTTTCCTTATTAATCAAACAAAAAAACATGTTATGAAACTGCAAAATTTTATAGTTCTAAAGAATGATTCATTTCAGTACCAAAAAAAATAAAACTGTAAAATTTTACAATTTTCACTGCTTGTAACTAAATCTCGAAAACAACTTGTTCGGAACTTGAAAATTTTCTCCATTGAAACAGAAAAATAGAAGTGTGTAATATAGAAAAAGTAAAAACAAAACTGAGAAATTGAAGGAACGAGACAGATATAGAGAGAGACTTGTACTCCAACAACTATTTTTGGTTTATATCTAACCGGATTTGATGTAGATTTGAGTAGATCTACATTAGATATGAGCAGATATGCTCATCTTCTTCGTCAAAAACTCATCTCATTCGTCATCGATCAGTGCAAAGCAAGGAGTTGGTGTTCGGTGGCTGCCAGTGAACCCTAATCAATGGTGGTTGCTGGTCGCCGGTGATTGTAGATCAGAAAGAGAAAGAAAAGAAGAAAGGCGTAGTCGTAGTCGTTGCCGGATATTAGAAAAAGAGAGATAAAGAGAAGAAGTAATGAGCAGAGAAAGAGGAAAAGAAAAATGAATAAAGGACTTTTGGGTCTACTCAAAAAGTTTTGGGATTAAATAAAACATACTTTTTAAAAAAGACTTGTGGGTAATTTGCCTGTGATTTTTTTGGGTTAAAAATGAGGTGATATTGTTTTTAAACCTTTGTTTGGAAAGAACTTTTATAGCCTTCTTTTTTTTTTTTTTTGTGTCAAAAAAAATATAAGAAAGTAAAGACAATTTTTTTGTATGCTTTTTAGTCTTTTACCCCTTTTAGTATTTTTTTTTTAAGTTTTCTTTTTTCTTTCTTTTTGACTAAAATCCTCTCATCCCAAACGGACCCTAAGGCCTAGTTTCACACACAATTATTTGGTGTACTTAGGCCTTGTTTGGAAACTTGATGTTTTAGTTTAAAGTCAAAAAATCACTAGAAAAATCGAAAAAGCCAACAAACTATATAAAAAAGTCAAAAATTCTCTTTTCTCTCTATTTTTTGCACGTTTTTTTCATAAAAAGTCAAAAAGTAATTTCAAACCTACTAATTTTTTTTAACCTCATATTTTAGTCAAAAAACTAAAAAAGTACTAAAATAATTTGTTCCCAAGCAAGGAAATTTAGTCTAGCAAAATAATAAATCAAATAATTAGCACACATATGGTAAATAAAATTAACAACAAATATGAAATAAACATAATTAAAATAGAGTTCAAAATAATATAGTTGCGAGCATAGTTTAAAATCGCGGTATTAGAACATGTAACTGTGTCAATCGCAGAGTATCGATATCGGGAATATTGGTTGATACGTATCGGGAATCGATTATCATAATCATGAAATTTTAAAATCATTAAGGAGAAGTAACGGTTTGTAACGGAATATCACGGTCCGTATCGGGATGTAGTTGTAAGAAATTAATATGCATGTAAGTATTACAATTATGCGGAAAATCTAATAGGATCTTGAATTCAATACCTCTTAAGAATAAAACGAACATACATTAATTTATTGGCCATTGAACTAGAGAAGTTGAGAAAATACCCTTTAGTGGAACTTTAAATTCTTGGCTCGCCCTTTTGTCTCTGTCTCTCTTAACTAGGATTAACAAAATACTTTAAGTGATGGAAAAATAATAATGCGTATATTGAAATGGAGTCATCCATCCTTATATAGAGGAGAGAAGAGAGCCAGATAAGCTCTATTAAAAGGATACTTATCCATCAAGGTTTCTTTCTTAGCTTATAAGAGTAATTATCTCATATTTAAAATTCTAATTTGTAAACTTTATCTAATATATTGGCTTATCAAGTTTGTGGAGTCTAGATTACATAAAACATGGAGGCTAGCGGGCCACACCAAAGAGTGAATCTAATATGCTCTTACTTGGCCCATTAAGCCGATTATGATGCAACTATGGATTTTTCAAAACATATGCAATTTGTTTATAAAATTTGACTCATTGAATTCCACACACTAAAAAAACTTTGACACGTGATCACGAATTTTTTCAGAACTTCCAATAAGTTTTGATATATTAAAAACTATGATAGTGTGATTATTTCCGATTACCAATGTAAGTCATAGTGGTTATATAACATTTATGTCATATTTCCTTCTATGCACTACACCATTGATAACCTTCACTAATCCAATCCATTATTGGGATATACAAGTATTTGCCTAAAGATCCATGAAAGTTATCTTGTCAAGACATTTTATGTTTATCAACATTAAAAATAATGTGCACACACCTTTTTAGAAACAGAAAAAACAAAAAACAAGTTATTATTGCGCAAATAATATCAATAATAATAATGACTACTTGGCAATTTATTAACCATACACATCATGGATTGTTCAAGTTTCCAATCGACACTGATTATTTCTAGAAGCACTTTACTTTCATGTGTTTGGAATCACTCAAGTACTTTCCATTCTTAGAGAATAAAAATGTTGTGGCATTATCATAATATATCTTTAGTAGCTTGGCAACTGAGTCAACAACACCAAGTTCTAAAATAAAATTTCACAACTATAAAAGATGACTCATAATCTTAAAACATGCCACAAACTCAACATCTATCGTGGATGAAACAATAATTGATTATTTCACATGCTTCATTGAGATTGTCATACTTGTTATTCTACTATCAAAGCAAACTCCACATGGAATTACTTTCATCTATACAAGTCATTCCTCAGACATTATTTTATATTTAATTTTTCACCCTTCATGACAGTCACTAAACAAAATTGCATATTTGTGTCTCTTCAAACTAAGATCAATGTATCTCTTATGAGATAGTCTTAGCAATCATCGAGATTGATCCTTAAAGATCTCTTTGCCAATAACATAAGTTGTCTCACCCATATTGATCATTTAAAAATTCTTGGTGAGATATCCTTTAATTTCATGCTATAAACCAAGATCCTTAGTGGCTAACAGAATGTAATCCACATATCAATAAATAAATAAATAAACTTACTCCCATTGATCCTCAACTACATGTGTTGATCAACAACATTTTTCTTTAATCTGAACAAGCTAGTGGCATTATTAAACCTTAAGTACCACTGGTTGAAAGTTTGTTTAAATATATAAATGGATTTTTTTAATCTGCAAGCCAAATGCTTTTTGCATTCTTTGCGAATCCTTCTGGCTATTTTATGTAGATTTCCTTATCCAAATTCTCATTCAAAAGGTGATTTTCACATTTATTTCATGCAACTCTAATCTAAAATGAGTTATCTTTGAGTAAGTCATTCTTGAACACCATAGAACATCTCCCTTTATAGTCAATGTCTTCTTTACGAGTGGAACCCTTTGGCCATAAATCAGGCTTTAACCGTTTGATATTGCAGTTTATGTCTTGTTTGACCTTAAAACCCTATTTTGACCAGACTTTCTAACAATTATTAGGCAATTCAACAAGATTCCAAACACTGTTATGAGCCATGGATTATGACTCTTTGTATATAGCATCAACCCATTTAATAGAATCATCACTATTCATGGCCAGTGAAAATAAAACTAGATCTTTGTTAATCTCAATGTCAGAATTAGATTCATGTAGATACACCACATATTCATCTAAAATGGCAAACCTTCTTTCCTTCTGAGAACTTCTTAGAACTACTGATTATAGTAATTCTACAATATTTTCAATGGTGATATCCCATAAAGAAAGATTCACTACTCATGTTTTCTTACTCTCACTAACTTCACCATTCTTTGATAATCTAACTTTACCAATCTCAAATTTTCTTGTACTGTGGTTAGGACAACAACATTTGTACCTTTTCGTCATGACCCGAACCCGCCCCCATGGGTTAAGGACATAACCGGCCAGTAATCTAGAGATTACCTACTGCCTCAAACCAAATTAGATATATTTCAACAGAGTTAAGGGGGCCAAACGGAAGTAATTTCAAACTTTTGCCCGTAGAGCTGTGCTTACATGGCACGTCATAACAATCCACACATATACATGTTAATAACTCACATCAAAATATATAATAACATGAAGTTCTGCACATACAGGATCATTCAAGTCTAAGTCAGTCAAACCCAAAGGTTATATACAGAAGTGGTCCAGTGTTTTCGCCAATATAACAAAACCATAATCAAAAGAACAAAAGAGGCGAAGACAAGTCTCGTGCGTGAGACGTTGGGCTGACTCTTCAAAACCTTGACTGTTTCCCACATATTTCACTGAGGCTGGGTTTGGACATCCCTTGGCTCACCTACATACACATGAATGAGTGAGAGCGAAAGCCTAATGAATAATATCGAATAAAGAAGATACACTATAACAATGTACAACAGACGGCCTTGGGCCT